CGAGCTCTAGCTGATGCTGCTGCCTGCTTCTGGCCTTTAAACTTTTAATGCATGGAAAATTGCATGTCGATCGGAGGCTGCTGCCTGCTGCCTGCTGCCTTCTGCTGGCTGTGGACCTTCAAAATTAAGTTGTCTCTTAATTACCGAGAAGAGATCTCTTACCAAGCGGAGACTCAGAGCTTTGCTCTTTTTTTTTGCTGCTGCTGTAATTAATTACCACCTGAAGTGTGATGAACTTTAAGTGGCTTTTGATAGAGCCCATAGAGATCGGTGGAAATACGATTAATGGTAGCGGAGGAATCGTTAATCAACTGCGAATATCAGCTAACTAATAAATCTGTTTATTTTTCTGTTTGCTGCTTGCATTATGAACTATTCCCCAATATGTTCAAAGTCATCCATCGATCCATCCCGTGCATTTAGCAAAAACTTTCTAACAGCAAATATGCATCTGCATCTGCGTCTCTGTATAATAAATTGAATACATCAGAAACAACTATAAATAATTGCCAGCAACAGCAACAGCAACAGCAACAACAACAACTGCAGAAGGAAATGAAGAAATTTTGCCAGAAATTTTCGTGTACGTATTGTGGAGTGGAGTGCGTGTGCCCAAAGGCGAAGGCTAATGGCCCCCAAAACGGCCAAGCGACGACGACAAGCATTTACAAGCTGTGGCCACAAACTGTGCGACGAGAGACAAGTGCAATAGGCCAACGCAGGTGCCTGGTCGGCTGTATACCCTGTACAGGGTGAGTACTCTTTTATGGACAGTGTGCCATGCATTAAAGATGAAGCCACTTTTATGTATCAGTCCAGTTAACTATTAGTCCAGAATGTAGTGACCCAAGAGGCGAAGCTCGATCACAGCTTCGTTGGGATCTAGTTTTTCGAGTAAGGAGGATCTGTTTTTGACAGAATTTGCAACGATTTCTCTATCGAAAGCAAAAGGAATTATGCATTTGAATCAATATCCGGTGGCATGCACAGCTTCCACTGCGGACTGGAGCTTTGTCTCTCTTAGTTTTGGTTAGTTTTTGCTTATAAAATAAAACTAAATCTCATGCACACTCTTCTTTCATCTAAAGAGCATTCATTGGTGCCAACAGACCAGACCCCAACTATACCCAACCAGATCCGCTGCAGCATCATTCAATCTGCCATCCTGGCACAGCCAGTGTCTCTCTGTGTGTGTGTGTGTGTGTGTGTGTGTGTGTGTGTGTGTGTGTGTGTGTGTGCCACAAGCCAGCCAGGAGATGACCGCGACCGCGAAGGCAAAGCAACGCACGACACAAGCAAGCGGCAGCCAGGGAGCGAGCGACCGAGGCAGGCAATCGGCCAAAACTGTCAGACATGGTGCGTCGTTGTGTGCCAAAAGAGCAACCGCAGAGAGACAGGCGGACAAGCAGGCAACAGGCGCAAGTCAAGTGAATGGCCAATGACCACCAAATTGGCAGTAAAGCATACAAAAATAACTTCAAATGGTCAAAAGGTTAACAAAATCAAGCAGAGAACAAGAAGAGAAGACAGCAGACAGCAGACAGCAGCAGCAACAGCAGCAGCCAGCCAGGCGGTGCCAGGAGAGTTCGAGAGAACGAGAGAGATGAGAAGCTGCTGGTGGTGGTGCAGCTGTCCCGATCCCAGCCAGCGGCTTTGGCTGCATGCCCCAACATGTTGCCAACATTCCGTCAGAGCCACCAGCAGCAGCCACAGCAACAGTTGCCATTGTCACAGTGTGTGTGTGTGTGTGTGTGTGTGTGTGTGTGCCAGTTGCAAGCAACATAATCCCCGCAGCCAGTGTCTGGTGGCCGCGGCGGCGCAACGTGGTGTGCGCAACGAAAAAATGATTAATGAGTTGCCTCATTACCTGGCGAAAATCAATGTCTTGCGCATATTCTGTGGGCCAAGAACCCGAGAGAAGAGCCACCATACCCCAAACCTGTCACAGCCACTTGGCCATGTCTCTGTGTGTTGTCGTTAGCCATGACGCAGCCGGCTCTTGTCGCCGTTGCCTCTTCCTGTTGCACCGTCGCTTGTTGTCGCATAATAAATCGATCATAATTCTGCAGACCCGAGACTCAAATATCGCAGTGTCGACGCTGATTTCGATGCTGATTCCGATTCTGATTCGGATCGCAACGACGACAATCAGCTCCTGTCGCGCACGACAACAAACGACAACGACAACAACGACGACAGCCACATCATCGGGGAGACCTCTGCTCTGACTGATCTCTGAGTCGATCTTTGCCGCACTTGGCTTCCCTTTTTTTGTATGTGTGTTGCACTTTTCTTTTTTTTTTAATTGCACTCGCAAACCGCCTGCTCCCCATCTGGCCAGAGGCTGTTGCTGCTGCTGCTGCTGCTGACTGATTTTATTTATTAAACCGTTGACATTCTGGTGACTGGCGCAGCCGCTACCTGGCGCCTTTGATAGCCATCAGTCGATATCCAGGCGCCTCCAATTTATGGCTACTGGATATTATTGATTAACTTCGTACGCATATTGTGACTTATTAATGAAGATTATGGTACTCCGGCAGGTGGTGCTAATTTGGAAGGGAAGCTTATCGATGCTGGGAGAGTGTGAAATAATCAAAAGAAAACAAAGGAGATGGCAGGTATAACTTCGGGTAAAATGGATAAATATTTAATCAGGATTTTAATTATTTAAGGACTGCAAATCTTCGTGAGAAACAAACTGTTACGCCGTCAGGGATTCTTCAACGATAAACTGACAGAATGAGGCCATCGACTGTAACATTTCGATAGTCATTAGTCAAGTAGTCTTCAATCTAAATGGAATATTAAGGTAACTTTTAAGCTCCATGTTCGGCCCATAATTATTCGAGTTGTCCCTTCTCTCTGTGAGGTCATAAAAAATAACCAACCCATTTTTATCAATGATTACACAATGCACACATGGAAATGGCTGGATTATTATTATCACTAAACAATGATATTTATTTAAAATGCAGACGAGACTCTTCGGCAAGCGGTAATTGAAAAAACGTTGGATGATATTCCACCCTGCCCAGGCACAGGGGCCAATAAACCGAAGCGATTGAACTCTTTATCGCTTCGTTATCTGTGGACTGGGCTGGACTGCTCTGAGGGCTGGGACTGCGGCAACTATGTAAATATTGTAAATCTATAAAACCAAACGGAACGCCAGTGCCAAAATGTAAGAAAAATTCCACGATTTACGACTGTGGATTCTTTATCGGTTACTGTTCATAGTTAAGGTTTACCTTTCCCACATAGAAGAGATATCTATTCGGTTTTAATTCTGGAGGGGATGAGGGGATTGTTGTATGATTGTGTTGCACTTCAACCAAAAACCGAAATATTAAAGTCAACAACACAAAATGGTTTGTGGTTTGCTCTGACTGTGGCTGTAGCTGTAGCTGTAGCTGTAGCTGTAGCTCTGGCTGGTTGCTGTTGTCGGCAGGCAGAGCACAAACAAGTTGAATGGCATTGCAAATGTGTGTGCAGCATGGGGCAGGAGGAGGCAGCAGGAGACGAGACATGGGAGAGCAGAAAGGCTTCCAACTGCCAACAGCAGTTTGATTGTTATTGCCAATGAATGAATGCACTTGCTCTGAGGATTTGTCTGCCAGGCCAACTTATGAGTTGCCTCTGCCACAGCAGCTACAGAAGCAGCATCTCCCATCATCTCCCCAACCATTGCCTTGAGGGCTGTGTGTCTGTGTGTCGGTCTGTCTGTCTTTCACTCTGGCAACAACACATTTTGCGGTCTCCAGTTGCAGTTGCAAGTTGCAGCTTCTGCTGCCATTGTTGTAGCTCTCTCTCCCTCTCCCATCCTTTTGTGTGGTAGCTGCTGCTGCTGCGTAAACCCTCAGGGGGTGCTTATGCCGGCTCTTGTTGCAACTGTGTATTGGCCATGAATTTTGCTGCAAACAACATTTCCGTTTTGGCCATTATATGGCGCCCGGTTCTATGTGCCACAGCCCCCCATTGTCGCTGACATTTTCACACTTTTGCCTGCAGAGTGAGTGCAGAGTGGAGTAGAGTGTGGAGTGCTGTTGAGCAGATGTTGTAGATGGCATTATCCTTGTTCATTTCCCGTTTTCCTTGTTTCATTCTTGATGATTTATTGATGTCTCTTTGTTGTTTTGTTTGTTCATTAGCTTTTTGTGAGTTTGCATGACGGTGGGGTAGTTGTAGCAAATTAATATGAAACATTAAAGCTTCCGTTTGCGTGCCTCGTACTCTCGTAATCGTTTAAAATCTCAACACCTCTGCAGCGAACAAAAGTCCATTGTTTCGTGGTATCTGCCGGCACATAACTACATAAATTAAAGTACTCTTCAGAGGAGTGGAGAGTGCAGCGTGTCGACAGCAGGAATCGCCACCAGAGTTCCTTCAAATTGATTTTGTGAAACGACTTTGTTGGTGGGCCTCCCACTCCACAGACACATCGAAGCGGACATCGAAGCGGACATTTGGAACAATGGCAAAACACACGGAATAACAAGGGGGTATTGTGTCCCGTGTGCACATATTGAATGAATTGGTTTTTTGCTTTGGTTTCCCTCTGCGCTTTTTGTCGATTGGCTGAGGGGTAAAATAAAATTAAAATCGGATCAATTGAAACCAGTTTTGTTGTTTTGTTGTTTTGTTGTTTCGTTGTTTCGTTGTCGTTGTTAACACATGTTACCCGAGAGCGTTGGCCAAATTGCCAACGATAACATATACATTTCCAAATTGTACGAACCAACACTGAATGGAACCTTTTTGCCCCATTAACATTTCCCATATCTGTATATCCATACAGAGACAGATTTTCCTTTTTGCAAACAGGCCTTGACTTTGCTGGATAACGCGGACGTAGAGCTCAGTTCCATTTGACTTTCGTTCGGGGAACTACATACATCAACCAAAAAATAAAATCAGTGTTGCACAGCGAGAGAATTTCGTAGGGGGAAGTAGGCGCTGACTTTCCTTTACAATCGCAGTCGTGTCGAGCTGCTTGCTCACTTGCATTATATTTTTCATACGTGACGAACAGCCCAGTCGAAATTTTGTCTGAAAATACAAATTTCACAATTTAAAACATTTTCTAAAACATTTTTGATTGGCATTTTGGATACAAAAAATGTCCAATATGCAGGATGTACCACTGGCCGATCCAGAGGAGGGCATTGCCGGATCGGTGGCCTCGTCGACAGCCACACCAAAGTCCAGTTCGTTAAAGCGCTTCTTCAAGCTGAGCAAGAAGCCGCACAACTTGCAGGATGAACTGCAAGATATGACCGAATCGGCCGTGCGTCAGAAGGATCCAAGCAAGAACAATACGGTGGGACGTTTCTTTACGCGCTTCAAGCATGCTCACAAGGGTAAGGCACTAGATAACTTGGAGAGAAACTCGAATTAATTCCTGGCTTATCCTTTACAGATGGCTCCGAGGAACCATCTTCTTCGACTAGCAATGAGGCCACTGATGCTGGCGAGGAGCATGAGCTGGAGCAGAGCCAGCGCAAAAACAAGCCGTCGCCCAATATGAAGCCCACCATTAAGGAGTCGATTTCGGGCTACTGGAAGCAGCTTTTCAATCGCAACAAGGCCCAGAAGCAGGATGGCATTGCCGGCATGTCCGACGGCGTGGAGGAGGTGCATGAATTGCAGCAGGTGAAGCAAGATCAGAGCCAATTGGACGAGATGTCCGAGGGTCAGGATGATCGCAAGGAGGAGGCTGAAACTCCCGACGTGAACCAGGAACAGCTGCCGGCCGTTGTGGGTTTGACTCTGCAGGAGCTGCAGAATGAATATGAGAAACACTAAGAACACATCCATGCACACTTATTACCTCTTGGCAAACACCTAAACTAAACATCGATACATTGATCGTGGTCCACGAAGCCCGTAACAATCCTTCAGGCGCTGGAGGATGACAGACAAAAGCCACCAAAACATTTATACACTTACCTCTTGGCAATTACCTACACTAACCTCTACACAAGGGGACTTGTAGACTACAATTTACGCACTAAACGCGTCACACTCTTTACAGACAAACTCTTCCAAACAATTTGCAATTGTTACACAAACCAAAAAGGATTGGAGCCTATCTACCGAAAAGCCTTTTGCTGCTGGAATCGCAAAATGTTTAATTGCAAGCAGAGCTTCAAAATAAATGCTGCTGCATATAGATATGCATGCAAAATGTAATCCTTGCCGTCTTGTGTGTAAACCAATCCCCAGACTGCCCATCCTTTGGGTCACAAAGTTCAGTTAAATCAGTTGTTAAAATGTTGGCTCTACGCAGGGTGTCGGTTACCAGTCCAAAAACACGTTTTGGAACCAGGGCCAAAAGGTGCCGCATTAGTCAGACAAACCCCTGAATAGAGCTGAGGTTTTCGCTTTCCAATGAAGCCCTAAAAACAAAAGGAACACCACCCCCAGAAAGGTGTGCATCTCATTGGGTAAATGAGTATTTAATTGTGGAACTACGGGGGAGGCCTATTAGCAATTTGCTGAAGAAAATAAATTGTTCAATTTATTGAGAAATTAATCAATTATTAAAAGTGACAGTAAAATCAAAGCAAATGTCAAATATACCCTCAAGCATTTCCCTCGCTAATCGCTCCCATATACTATTATCTTTTGTAAAATAGATTTAAGTAATAAATTCCTCTCCAACTCTACACAATCCCAAAATTCTCCAAAGAGCGTCGCCCACCAGTTGCACATCGTTTGAGAGTAGAAACATGTGTGAAATATTTACAAATATTGTCTGGAGACTGCGCAAACTCTGGAGTGCTCCTAGAGATAGTAAATATTTACACATGGATAGACCAAAACAAACACTTGTTGTGGGGTGAAAAGTGCGACCGGAAAGTGCGGAAAATGTGAGATAAACACGCGGTATGCGCATGTCCTACATCGAGCAGCTGTTTTCCCTCGGCTGCTGTCGAGGGTGTGTGGCCAAAGTGGGTCAAGAACTCAAACCATAACTCGAATTTATGGAAATAGCTTTGCATTTATGAAGAAATACTATAGAAATGTTGAAAAGTTGACTAGTTTAATGTCTTCAGAGTGCCAAAGAATCATCAATCCATCCAAAAGGTGTCTAAAACTCAACTAAAAGGACTTTTAACTTCAGGGAGGTGGCGGCGCATCCAACAGTTATCAAAATCGCGCAGGATACACACCGAAAAGTGTCTTCAGTTTAGTTGTAGAGATTTTTCTTTGTGGTCAAGCCTTGCTGTAACACCCGTAAAAAATTGCAAATCTATTGAAAAAACTAACAAATTTCGAGGTAAATTTAATAAAACTAGAAACCTGAGCCCCTGAGGCAGCTGTGGGCTATGAAACTTCTTGGTTTGCCATGAAATTTCATATGTTTTGAAGTGTTTTCCCACAGCGACAGCATCCTCAGGCCGGGGTGCTCCAAGCATTACGTAAGCTTCACATTTTTCTCGTTGGTTTTCCCTTTGTTGCAGAATGCGAAGTCCCTCGGCAGCAGTTTCGGCAATGCTAAGGATTTGTCTGATATAATGACTGGCAGCTTTAAGGTGCAACTCATCAACATGGGCACTCGTGCTGCCGCCTGTAAGTATCAGACTATATGGGGAGTCTTTGTATCATTTTAATATGTGTTTTTTCTCGTTCACGCAGTTCAGGCAAAATTGAGAGCCCTTCATGAATACCACGTACGTCTTTTGCACAATATCTTACCCGCCCCCTCTGGCGTTGATATTGCCAACAATATCAAATACTTTTCACAAACTCTACTAAGTGAGTATATCCCCAATATCCCCCTATAGCTAGAGACATATTTAATGATTCATTTGGGTGTTCGTTCTTGCAGCTGTCCTTAAAGATGTGCGCACTTCTCCGCACGAACTTATACGGGATCCCCTTGAAGATCCCACACGCATGTCTGCCTATCCCAATCTTGAATATGGCAATCTCTATAATGCCCTAACTATGCTCATCGATGTGGCACCTTGCATCCAGTATGGACAAATCGGTGCGAACATATCGCTTGCCATTCCCGCATTCCCCTAATCTCTCTTTTGGTCTTGCAGTTTTCGGCAAAGCTCTGCTGCAGTGCCTAAGCTGCATTCTACCCTTCCTCGACAAGGATCTAATTGACAATCTACCCTATCTTGTTAGCTCTACTATATCTGTACTACCGCCAGCACTGCATCAGGACATAGTCAATGCCCTGTGCTACTATATCTTACCCTTTACTATAAGTAAGTAGTCCCAGCTCTTTTGGGGAGCTATTTCTAATGATTTCTGTCTGGTTGCCCTCAGCTCGTCGCAGCTCCGATGAGCAGGAGTGTCAGGCCTGCCAGTCGGTCTCCTCTGTCATTATGATGGTGCTGCAGTATTCCAACAATCCCGCCCACCACTGCCAGCTGCTGGAGTGCCTGATGACCCTCAAGCATAATGTCGTCAAGGATATTCTGTGCGTGGTGGCGTACGGCACTGCCGTCTCCCGCTCCTCGGCGGCCAAGCTGCTCTTCTACTACTGGCCCGCCTTCGATGCCAATCTCTTTGATCGCAAAGTATTGCTCTCCAAGCTAACAAGTAGGGAAAAACCTCCTATGGCTCCTAACCTCCGGCTATGATACGCAATTAATGATGGTAATTTCTTGTCCTCAGACGACCTTGTGCCCTTCACCTGCCAGCGCGAACATTGCCCAAATGCTGGCAATGCTGAGGCAGCCAAGGTCTGCTATGATCACAGCATCAGCATCACCTATGCCCCGGACTGTCCGCCGCCCCTTTACCTGTGCATCGAGTGCGCCAATGAGATCCATCGGGAGCATGCCAATCTGGAGTTTGGCGACATCCTGCACCCCATGCAGCAGGTGTCGATGGTCTGCGAGAACAAGAACTGTCGCTCCAACGAGAAGTCCGCCTTCTCCATCTGCTTCTCCACGGAGTGTGCCACCTTCAATGGCAACCATCCCATTCGCTACTGCAGCCAGTGCCACAGCAACAGGCACAATTCGCGACGCGGCGGCGATCATGTGGTGCACCGCAGCCTGCAGCCCGCCTGGCAGATGGATCCCGAGATGCAGATGCATATGGTGGAGTCGGTGGTGAGCCTTTTGCGGGAGTCCAAGCCGCTCAACTTTGAGCCAGGCAAGGAGTCGTCGTCCTCGGATGCCAAGAAGAACGGCTCCTCGGCCACGGCGGATAATATTTCGCGAGAGGAGCGCCAGAGGCTGGGCCGCTATGGCATTTGGCTGCTCGTCGGTCGCTGCACACCCACTGCCGACACGCCCGTCGAGGTGCTGGGCAGAATTCTGAGCATGCTCTTCCATTGGTTCCATGTCACGGCCTATTCCTATGATGGTAAAGGTCTCCATTGTCGCCAGAAGCTTGCTCTTAACCCTCTACGTTTTCTCTTTTCAGCTGCTGGTCAGGTGGAGAGCACCATTGAGAAGCTCAAGGTGGATCATGTCTGCAATTGGCTGAAGGAGATCTGCCGCATTCACTACAACGTCTTCATCGCCTGTCTGCTGCCCCATCCACCCGAGTATGCTCGTGTCGGTGGTCATTGGGAGACGCTGGCCTCTCGCACCAGCCACCTGAAGGAGGGTCTGCAGCGTCTGATCTGCCTGGTGCCGTACGAGGTGATCACCTCGGAGATCTGGGACTATGTCATGCCCCACTGGATGGAGGCCATCACCAACGACGTGGCCGAGAAGGAGCTCAACGAACTGAAGATTGTCCTCAGCAAAATACTCGACCCAGAGATGTCGCCCCTGGGCTTCGATGCCAAGACAATGTACAACTTTGTGGCCATACGCTTCGAGAAAACCACCGCCAAGGTCCAACAACAGGCGCTCCACTGGCTGCAGATACTCACGAAGCTGGAGATACTCATTCCGCTGCTGCAGCTCTTTGCCATGTTCGGCGATGGCGTTCGCATCATGAAGTACGGCATTCAGCACGAGTTGATGCGCGAGAAGGATGCGGCACAGCTGCAGCTGCCGAAGGCACCCAAAGTGCCCTGCAAGGAGACCAAAGCAGAGATGGCCAATCCCCCCAGACGCAGCTCCATTTGTGAGACTCGATCTGGGAATAATATTAAATCCACAGATTAACCAATTGATTTTCCAGCTCCTGTGGTGGAGGATGACTCTGGCAATACGTCGGCCATATCGGATGATGAGGCACCCACCAATCGCCACACGGAATTTTCAACGGATGCCGAACACAATCTCACCTGTTGCATCCTCATGCTGGACATCCTCCTGAAGCAGATGGAGCTGCAGGACGTGGAGCAGCACATGGGCATTCATACGAGTGTGTGCGAGAATGTCTCGCGGCTGATCAAGTGCATGGTTACAGCGGCACGTGTGGGTCTCAGCAGTCATGTGTGCGCCCTGAAGGTAGGCCCATCCACTCGTGGGATTTGTAAGCAAATTAAATCAATTTTAAACCACTTTTTAGGTGGCTGAATGCGCTTACTGCGAGGCCTCCATCATGTGGCATCAGTTGTCCACCAAATTAGTTCAGTTTATGGCGCCTTTGAATCCCGTTCGGCCCCCAGATGTGAGTGTTGCTAGAGATAAAAGTGCCATATAAAGGAATTCCTACAATGTGCATTTTAAGATTCCCATTGAGGACATAATCGAGGAGGAAAAGTCATCGCGCAAATCCCCGCCAGAGTCGGACAAGGAAAAGACGCGAGATGTCTCGCTGTCCATGGCGCCCCTGCCCATACCCCTGGGTCCGCTGGGAGGATTTGCAGGTACGCTTCAGACTTTTGCCAAAATGTTTTGTTTGATTTGATTTGAAGACCACCCCTAACCCTACCCCTACCCCTAACCCGACAACGAAACTCGATTGTAACATATAGAAGACTGTCGTCAAAGCAATCCCTAAACCCCAACCGAAACCCCGTACCCCCCAAAGTCACCTATAAATAACCTATCCACCGTAAAAGTAAAAGCAGTGAAACGTCACCCAAAAATGTAGCTAATTGTAGACTGTACTTTGAGCCTGGACTCAACCATACATTTATACATATATAAATACTATTTATAAAGCGTTTTGCAGGCGAATGGTATGTGATGCCCCCTGGCGTCCTTGTAAACAAACTTACTTTAGTCTAAAGAGAATCCCCACGTTTAAAAAACAGCAAACTGAACTTTTGTAACTACATCAACAAACAATCTAGTAACCTGCACTGCTATGCCTTG